CAGTTTTAGTTTCAAGAAACAAAAAAATTTAGTAGAATTTCAGTCAACAAACGATAACACACCCAGTTAACATATATCGTCGTAAAGATTTCATAAATTTTCCTCTTTCTCTTACTGGAACTGTTCCAAATCGTTGTGTGTGTGTGTGTGTGTGTGTGTTTATCTGTGTGATTGAATGAAAAATTGAACAAACGTCAACATTGCGGTGTTTGTTCGTTTTTGTTCCACTGTCTTGGGTGCGGTTATTTCAGTTGATGATGATGATGATGGTGATTGAAAAAAGGGAAAAAAATTAAGAGAATGGGGATGTAAAATATTAATAAATTATAATTCAAATCTCTGTATTGAAACAGAGATTGATTAGGGTGACACAAATATGGTTGGTTGGTTGGTTGAAAATCTTATTGTATGTTAAGTGTTGTCGCTATTGCTGCACCAAAATAATTCATTTGTTCGCAGTTCATTTTGGGTGATTGTCAATAAAAATTTTTCCTCTACATTTGAATATTCAGAATCGTGGGCCGGTTTCGTTTTAGCTTTGTATCCATTTTTTCTTACTATTTTGTTGTTGTTGTATCATTTATTGTTTCATTGATAATTTAGTTTGTCATTGGGTCAATTTTTTTTCCCGAGACTATTGATCAACTAATCAATCGATATCTAGATCGATCGAACGATTGTTTGATTGATCTGTTGTACATAAAATGAAATTCTTTTTTTCAAGAAAAAAAACAGAATAAAATCAACCTTTGATTAACAAAAATGAAACAAAATTCAATAGAATTTAAATTTTCATCTGAAAAAACTAATTTTTCAAATTATTTTGAATTTAAAGGAATATTTTCAATTTTACGGAAAAGAATTTGTTCAGTTTTTGTTTGAGGTTCTGGTTTTTTTCTCATCGATTTATGTTGATACAAAATAATTGATTCATATTTTTTTTCTTTGTTTTCATCGATTGATTGATTGATTTGTTTATATACGAATTGTCATGACAATCATTTTAGAAATTGAATATTAATGATAAATTTTCATCATTGTTTTTTTTGGATTGAAAATGAAGCCATTTTAGCAATTTTGTTGTTGTTGTTGTGTAACAATAAAATGAACAGTAAAAACTATTATTTTCCTGACTTGAGATTGATAATTTGGATAGTTTTTTATCGAATAACAAATGAAAAATGCATTACCTGTTTGTCGACGATTACGTCGGATAGCCATTGAAGAAATTTGATAATGAAAATGAAACGGGAGATAATGATAATGATGTTTATGAATGGATGAATATCAATGAAATTCAATGAATGAATGATTTTTTTTATAAATTTCATTGATATCGAAAATCATTTACATTTAATTTTTTGTTTTGTTTGTTGTAACATTGTAATAATATTGTTGTTGTTATCGTTGTTTTTGTAGATTAAAAAAATAAATTTACATCGAGTGATGAAATTGGAGAAAAGAATCAATAATTTGAACCAAAAAAAAAAAAAACAAACAAAAAATATTTTTCTATAATAAGAATAGAATAGAAACTGTTTTATAATCGATGTTTTAATCGATGAAGTGCAACATACTAAATCAAACAAAAACCAAACATCGATACAGACGATAATCACTAATATGTAACAACAACAAGTTTTGGAACAAACATACAATACAAACAAACAAACAAACAAACAAAAAAACCTAATGTAAAATAAATAAATAAATTGTAAATGAAAACAAAAACAAAAATAAAACAACTTGAATGAAATAGATGGATGGATGGATGGATGAATGGATGAAACCAAGGTTTAGCGAGGATATTTCATAGATAACACACACACATTTTTGTTACAAGAACCAATTGCAAATCACACACTGTATTATAATAATCTAGCCAAACACCATACACAACACCTTAAAGAAATATGTATTGTGTAGTCGGTTAAATATTTTTAAAAAAAACAAAATATGATTTTTGGCACGCCAAAAATCATATTATTATTATAATGTGCAATACACGAGACATATATACCCAGAGATATTGTCATCTAAGTTCATATCATTGAAAGATAACGGGTACTGTTTTATTATTATTATTTTATATTTTTGGGTGCGCCTTTCATTCTTTTGGACGCAATGTTTGTTGAAAACAAAAACAAAAAACAAAAATTTCTTCCGTTTCTTCAAAATAAATTTCTTTGCTTCTTTGATTATCAAGCCAAAAAAAAAGATCAATGAAAAATGAAAATAAATGGATAAATGGTGACAGTGTGTGTGTGTATGTAGAATCGATTTTGATCCACCAAAATTTTTCCACTTCCTCCCTCAAAAAAAATGTTTAATCGTGGATCTATGAATCAACTTTGTAACTAGGCACACATATGATGATTATAGAAAAAAAAAATAAGCCAAGGTAAGCAATTTTTTAATGAGAGATGAAACCAGAAATAAACAACAAATTCATAACAATATCACTTATCGGATGATTATCATATTGATGATGATGATGATGATGATGATGACACATAGATTCAAAATCAGATCAAAATGTAATGGACAAAAACTAATGTATCATTAACATATTGATAAAGATTTTTGATTTGATTGAAATTCATTGTTTTTTTTTTTGTTCACAAAATTAAGAAGAAGATTAATTGATTCTTTTTTTTTGTCTACTGTCTCTATTCTATTCAGATTGTGATACAAATTAAATACAAAATCTGGTCTGGTTTTTCATTGAATATCTGAAATGGAAAAAAAAATTTAACAACAGCAACATTTAGCCGTTATTTGATTATCGATGATGATGATGATTAATCAGATTTCGGTTTTGTTATTTATAAACACAAAGAATTTGAATGATATGATAATTTTTGTTTAATGACAATATTATAATGATGATGATTATAAATTTTTATCATTTTTTTCTCTAAAAAATTAAAAAAAAAAATTATCATAGTCATTGAGAATGAATGAAATGCAAAAAAAAAGCAAACAAAAAAAAAAAATACCTAAGAGTGATATCCGGATTATGTTGTTATGGTTTTGTGTGGTTTATTGTTATTATCATCATTGTCATCATTGTTGTAGTTATCGATGTCGCAAACAATAGTTGATTAGATATTTTTGTAACAGGATTATAAACGGATAAATCAGTTGAATAAATAAATGAAAACAATCGATGTTCAATTCAATACATTTTTGAAGAAAATTTGATTTGATTTTTTTTTATTTTTTGGATTTTGATTTCAGAATAATAATTATCGAGAATTTTATCGATTGATTGATTTTTTCTTTTAATGACATTATGGCATGTGATAAATGCGTATGGATTCTGATTTAGAATTCGATTTGATTCTGCTCTGTTTTTTTTTGTTCCATTTTTTTCAAAATGCATATTCATCATTAGTGAATCGTTTGCTGTAAATCATATTTATAAAAGTTTGAAATAACTTTTTCCGATAAAAAAAAATTCCTAGAATTTACATTCGACCAAACTAGATGGCACCTGAATCATCTACCCTTTTATCATTTTGATTGAATTTTTTTGTTTTTCAAATTTTTTTTTGTTGTTGTTGAAATTCAGGTTTTCTTTTCTTGAAAAAGAATTTTTTTTGTTATTCGTTGAATTTGTCTAATCAAATGCAATGATGATATCGATTATATGTTGAAAAAAATATCAAAAATTCCAAAAAATTTCTATTTCTGTTTGTTCATCCTGCTAATTGATTCCGATTGATTATTTTAAATTGAATTTTGAATTGTCATTTTGATAAAAATTTACAAAATTGTTTTTTTCCTTTTGTTCATTTCATTGTTTCATACATTCGACCATTGACCATTGTAGGATATTCCAATCAGCAACAACAACAACAACAAAAAAGATTAAATTTTAATACAAAGTTTATTAAAAACCAGAAAAAAATTCCTAGATTTACAAAAAAAAACATGCTCGCATATACAAATCGTAACAGTATTCAAAATCATGATATATGCATGTGTGTGTGTATGAATGATAATAACATAATGATAATGAAGATGATTAACATCAAACAGCAACAAAATTATTTTCTCTTTCTCTCTCTCTCTCGTTTTTCCATGATCAGAAAAAAACTGATTTAAACTGAACTGATCTTATCACAATCATCATTGAATATGGGATTTTTTTTAAATAAAATCGTTGGTAGGAACAAAAAAAACGAAGAAGAAGAAGAAGAAAAAAAAGGATATCTCTTTGTATGGTTGAATGAATGATGAAGAATGTGGTAAAAAGGCTATTTGGAAAGCGACAAATGACGATCATGATCATAATGACGGTAGGTAATATTATTTGTAAATCATGATAATGATGGAAATATTTTTTTCCATTACAAATCAAACAACCAACGTCCATCATCATCACCCTCATCATCATCAGTTAATTAAATGAATCATGCTTGTTTGTCGCACTCAATCTTGCTAACTCTCGTTTTTGTTCATCATATGAATAATATTTGGATGATGATGATGATGATGATAATAATCATACGTTGAATGAGAGAATTCCTTTCAATATATTCTTTTGAAAAAAACTATACTTCTTCTTATTATCAACACCATATTTTTTTTTGCTTCCAAATTTTGCCTCTCAAATTTTATCGATTGATTTTCTGGGTAAACATTTTTTTCCATCGTTATCAAAAAACGATGATGATGATACAATCATATCAACAACAACTACAAAAAAATTCATTTTTTCTTCGTTGATAATAATCGATGGTCCCGTTTTTTTTCTTCTTCTTCTTCTTCAATTCTAATTCATTTTGAATGCTACTTGTTGTTGTTGTTGTTGTCACCGTCGTTATTGCGTGATTTACTTTTGCGTTAATATTTGATAAATCAATTTAATCAACAAATTTTTTTTCTGTATTTATATATTTTCGAAACAAAAAAAATCATTTTCAATCAATCAATCAATCGTCAATTTGATTTGTTTTTTCTTTGCTTTGCTTTTTTCATTTCATTTCGGTGACTACTGGTATTATTTATTCGAATCGAATGATCCATCAAATCGCTTTTTTCGCTCTTTCTCTCTCTCTACATATAACAGTTATAATCAATAAAATTGTGATGAGATTTAAATCTAAATGATTTGGAAAATCTAAATATATAGAACAGTTGAAAATTTTCGAAACCCACGTTTTTTTCTTCTTCTTCTTCGTCGGTGTAACTTTTTTTTTACAAATCAAAAAAGAAAAAAAATTCTTATCGTTGATGTTGTAGTTGTTGACCCACCTTCATCGTGTGTGGATCATCCAAAGAAAAAAGAAATATTCATATTCATTTGTGGATTGTGGGTTTTGTGTGTGTGTTTGTTTGTTTGTTTTTCAAATTTGATACCGATTCCGATCACTGTGTTCATTTAATTTTTGTTTTGTTTTTAAAAATTAATTAACAATAATAAAAATATACTAAAAAATGTGCTCGAAAAAAGGTCACGTTAATCTATTGTTTGATATTGATAATGATAATATCGATAATGATCATCTTGAACAATTACAAGATAAATGTGGTGTTTTTGCTTGTATTGCCAATGGTGATTGGCCAACTAATCTTGATGTTGCCCATATTATATGTCTTGGTTTAATTGGTCTTCAACACAGGTTTGTTTTAAATTTTGAAAATTAATCATTCTTCTGTGGTTTCTTGTCCTTAATTTCAAACATTATTCAATATTAAAAAAAAAATCCATGTCCTTCGACAATGTCGTTCAATCACATCATCAATGATGATGAATTTTGAATGATCCGTTATTATTGTTATTATTTTTTTTTGCAACAAAAATATTTATTTATACAGTTAATATTGAGAGGATAATTTTCTATTTTCTTTGATTATCATTATCGATTTTGCTTAAAGCTTAAGTTTTACAAAAAAAAAATCTTCATATTTTTTTGCACGAAAAATTAAACAACAACAACAAAAAAAAAGAGATTTCCAATTTCCAATGAATAATGTTATTTGATGATCGTTCACATTATATTGTCGTCAACAAAATAAATAATGAAGATAATAACATGCAATCATTCATTATTAATCAAAGATTATTTATATCATCAGATTGATCAGCTGATACATCTTTCGATGAATTTTTTGTTCGTTTTAAGAAACGAACAAAACAAAAAACAAAAAAGTCAGGCAGCTAAATCTGAAAAATCTATAGCAAAAATAAATATTTATTGATAAAAAAATATTATGTTCGAAAAACAGTAGATATGATTATTATTTTTCTTGTTCATTTGTTGAAGAAAAAAGGAAAAATTTTTCAATATTTAGAATAATAATTTCATTTGATGATGATGATTCGGTGATAGAGTGAAGAAATCAATCAATCGATTGATAATCATTTTATCATTACCGAATGAAATTTTTTTTTTTTATATTTCACTCTTTTCTCTTTGTCACATGATGTTTGGGAATTTATATTTTCTTTTCCTACGTTTTGGATTTGTTTATGTTTGTTTTTTTTACAATGATATCAACAGATATCAACAATCGTCATCAATTGGTCGGATGTGAATGTTTCGAAATTATTAAATTGGACAAGATTTTTTTTTTGTACATTTTGGATAGATTAAAAAAAAATTCAGACTAATTTTGAAATTTTCTTCTTTATCAATCCAAAAAATGTAGAGGTCAAGAATCGGCTGGTATAATCACTTGTAAATGGACACATGGTTAGTCATATAATTTTAATTTTGGAAAAGATTTTTATTTAAAAAAAATGATTCATAGAACCATTGGCAATTCATCGTGGTATTGGTCTTGTATCACAGATATTCAATGAATCTGTAATGATGAGTTTAAAAGGTAATCTTGGTATTGGTCATACAAGATATTCAACAATGGGTGGTGCTGATAATGTACAATTAGTACAACCATTTATGGTACATGCTAGTTATGGTACAATTGCCGTTGCACATAATGGTGAATTGGTTAATTCGAATCGTTTACGTGAACGAATCTTAGCGAATGGTGTTGGTCTTTCAACAGGTATATAAAATGATGATTATAAATGAAATTAAAATTGAAATTTGTTTTTTTCCTCTAACCACTGTTTAGGTAGTGATAGTGAACTTATAACACAAGCATTATCGATGGAACCACCGGAACAATTTAAACAAGAGTATTTAATGCATAAATATAAGATGCCAAACCGTATATCATCACCACAGATATCGATGACAAATGGCAATTCTGAACATATAATAGATAATAGTGATACGGAAAGTATTGATTCGAAAGCATCAATGTATCAGAGTAAATTTTCTACACAATTCTCACATGATAGTGATAAAGAGGCAAATTTTGTGGCCCGAATTTTACATGTTAGTTTTTATTCTTATTGATTGATTGATTCATTTAATATTAATCCTTTTATTTAAACAAAAAATTCTAAATCAAAATAGCTTATGTCGTTAACACCATTATCATATTCATTGACAATATTGTTTGATGAATGTATCTATGCTATACGTGATCCATTTGGTAATCGACCATTATGTTTAGGTGCATTAGTACCACCAAATACACCATTGGGTAAAATTGAAAATTTCGACAATGTTGATGGTTGGGTTGTTTCATCCGAATCATGTTCATTTCCATCGGTTTGTGCACGTATTGTACGTGATGTAATGCCCGGAGAAATTGTTAAATTGGAACAACATAAACCACCACAAACATTGGCCATTGTACCTAGGCCAGATAGTATGTTGTTATAAATTGATAACATTGATAAATTAAAATCATTATAAATTTTCATTCAAACTATAGATGCACCACCTGCTTTTTGCATATTTGAATATGTTTATTTTGCAAGACCTGATTCAATGATGGAAGGACAGGTATAGACATTTTAATCATTTTGACAATAGTTTCAAATTTTAAATTTTAGATGGTATATTCGGTACGAAAAAAATGTGGTCAACAATTGGCTATAGAAGCACCGGTCGTTCGTGTTAACAATGATAATTCTGATTTGATTGTTGCAGCCGTACCTGAATCTTCTATTCCGGCGGCATTAGGTTATTCGCAAGAAGCTAAACTTCCATATGTAGAAGTTTTCTGCAAAAATCGTTATGTTGGTATGTATTATTATCGTTATAAAATCAAATAATCAAATCATTATATTGATTTCTATATTGAATAAAGGTCGTTCATTTATTCAACCATCAATGCGATTACGACGATTAGCTGTAGCCAAAAAATTCGGTCCATTATCATTGAATTTTATTGGTAAATCAATCATATTGATCGATGATTCAATTGTACGTGGTACAACCATTGGACAATTGATTCGATTACTCAAAGATGCTGGTTAGTAAGAATTTAAAACAAAATCATCCAATCATATAACTAAATTTCAAATTAAAAATAGGTGCCAAAGAAGTACATATACGTATTGCATCACCAGCATTACATTTTCCTTGCTATATGGGCATCAATATACCGACAAAAGATGAATTGATTGCCAATCATTTTCAAGCAGATCAATTGGCACAACAACTTGGTCAGTATTTTTATTATCATTATTATTATTATGTGCAAATGTTAAATCAAATATGACCATTTTTGTTTGTTTGTTTGATTTATGTTGAATAGGCGCAGCATCACTTGTATATCTATCGGTAGATGGATTAAAAAAATCTGTACAAACCGGAATTAAAGATCATATTTTAATGAATAATCCAAACAAAACAATCAGCAAAGAAGAATTACGTAATCAAATTGGCCATTGTACTGCATGTTTAACCGGACAATATCCTGTTAAACTTAGTTTTTGAATGAAAATCAATGATTTATTATTATTATTATTATTATCATTTTTTGTTTTTTGTCTTTCCGATGATGATTGTACGATTTCGAGGTTTATTCAAAAAAAAAAAATTTTTTTCTTTATCGTTCATCAATTTGTTTGGTTGTTTTTTTCGTTTTTTTCATCAACAAAATGACTGATTGAAATTGTATACATTGAATTTGAACTGAATTGAACTAACAACAATAACAATATCGAGATTGAGATAAAAACCAAAATCGGATATGAATGTTATATTTAAAAAAATTTATAAAAAAAATTTGTAGCTAGTCAACAACTGATATATCGAAACAACAAATAAAATCAAAATAATAGGATTTTTCTTTTTTTTAAATTCAATCAATCAATAACAAATTCTGCTCAATATGAATAATAAATTTAAAAAAATAAATTAAATTATTAAACATTTTTTGATTTTTAAAAAAATTAAAAAAATTTAAAATCATCATCGCCCAGAGCAGCCATCTAGCGACCAGAATGCTTTACAATTTTTTTTGAAAAAAAGTTTTTTTTCTCAAAAATCGAATTGAAATTGCATAAGTTTTTCCAAAACAAAAAAAAATTATTCACAATTATCAATATTTGAAATTTATTCAAAACAACGAAAAAAAACTAGGAAACATTGAAACAACAAGCAAACAAACAAACAACAAAAAATCAAATACAAAGAACACCGACAAAACAGTCATTACATCCGTCTGGTAATTTACTTGATGCAATCAAAATAATAATGATGATGATGATGATGATGATCAAATTATGGACAAAAATTATTCTTCTGAAATGATAATATCATTCATAATATTGTTTGCATATTTAAAGTTTACTTTCAAACAAAACGAAAAAAAATTATTATTATTATTATTATTCAAATCGAATCGTCGGGAAGTTATGATGATGATGATGATGATGATCATCATTATTATTACTGGTGGAAAATGATGTGTCGCCCAAACGGCATTCAAGCCAATAATATACATTTTGGATGATGGATTGCGCTGGCGCCATTCATTTCCAGAGAGACATTCTTTTTTTTCTTCTTGTCTTTCATCCATTTATTTATTTATACATCCATATGCATATCCATGGATAATATAGGTGGATCATCATCATTATATTTATATTTCAATGATGATATCTATTTGTAAACATGATGATGATGATGATGATGATCCAATGTTGATGGTGACTGTTGATATTAGATAGATGTATATGATTGATGCTACATTTGTTTTTCTTTCAATGTAATATCAAACATTATTGCGTTCATTAATATCAATATTTTACCCAACAAGAAAAAAACATTGATCATCCTTATATTACATGGATTTGTAATCTATGAAAATTATAAAATGAAAGAAGTTAGTAAATATTATTGATTTTGAAAAAAAAATTGTCAATCAATAAAGGTGGATTATTAAATTTTATTTTATATTTACACAAAATTTTTATATAATGAGCCAATTTTGAATATTTAAAAAATATATATATTCGCACCAGTCATGCGTAGTTTGATTTTTTTTTTTGTATATCTCTCTCACTCTTGTTTTGTTTCTGTTCTATTCATGAAAAATTTTGGCTTGTTGCTTCGTCGAGTTGGTTGAGCACAATATGAGTGTGTGTGTGTTTTGTGGCAGTGGCGACAACCAGCGTTCGAATAAATAATAAAATTCATGAAAATTCAGCAACAACAAAAAAAAAATGAAAATGAAAAAAATAAATTCATAAAACTTGCTCCAAATTTTTACTGTTTGTTATTGGTTGAAATGCATATGGTGATTTTATTTCTGTTTCACTGATTCTCTTGTTCATTCATGTAAATTCTAAACAAAAAACATCAAACAAACAATAAGAACAACGATTTTGATTTTCGAATTTGATATATAATAATGATGAAATTGTAAATGAAAAAAACAAAACAAAAATTCTTATTCAAATTCATCTTATTAACACTTTATGTCCGTAATAATTTTCTACTTTTTTTCTTCATAATCATCATCATCATTGCATTATATAGTGAATCTCTTTTTTTCTTCTTAGTAAAGAAAGATTTTATTTTCTTCGAACAACATTCGTTTACATTCCGAACCGATTCTTCTTCTTCTTCATTATTATTATTAAACACAAAACAGAATCATATAAAGTTCGAAATCGAAATTCTGTTTTGTCGTTATTCATATTGTTTTGGCTAATAATAATATTATTCTATATATCTATGTATGATTGTCGAAGACATATATATCTATCTGGGAAAAAAACAAATTCGAATCGAATCAAAAACGATCACATCAATAAAATTTCTTCAGCATCATACAGAATGAAATAGAAATTCTGTTTAAACTATTTTTTTAATTGATACCGTTCAGAAAATTATCACCGCCATCTTAAAAAAATTCTTCGCCTTATTTTTTTAAAATATCGTTTGATGTTCGAATATTTTTGTGCCTTTCCAGAATTTTTTCATAAAAATTCATTTGTTGATTCTGGCTTCTTTTGCATTGTGTTTTGTGTAATTTTCATCTACATATAAATACGGTATCCTTTTTATATAAATATTATCTTTACTATTTTTTTGATAAAATATTATAAAGAAAACGAATTTTTTTTTCGTATGAATCATTATTTTTTGTATTCTGGTTCAAAAAAGAACCCATAAAAGGTGCTATTTTTTGATGAAAATTTTATTTTTTAAATAATTTATTTGATAACAACAAAAGAAACAAACAAATGCCGTCCACATCTTTTTTATTCGATTAAAGAAAAAATTTTTGATGTTCTTTTTCATTTATGACGATAACGAATTCCTTTTGTACATCTTCATCATCATCACCATCATCATCAATGTCCTCATCAACTGCATCATATGATTCTTCATCATCAAATTTGATATTTCAAAGTCCAACATCACCATCATCATCTACAACATTGAATTCATCATCGTCAACATCATCAACAACAAATTTGGATACATCATCATTATCATCGTATCAGAATCGTAATCAAAATGCTCTTCAACGACGTGCACAACAATTACGACGATGGCGTGAAATTGAAGAGCTTGAACAACAGAAACAGGAACAGAATCGTAAACAACGGACACCGACCAAAGTTTGTTTTTCACCAACAACATTATTTTTGTCCGCTTGTGCACAACGTGATGTTGATGAATGTGAACGTTTATTAATGATCAAAGAATTAAGAGATGCCGGTGGTGTTAATGTTATCAATTGCGATGGTTTAACTGCCTTACATCAGGCTTGTATCGACGATAATGAACAAATGGTAAGATGGTTGTTAAGTAAATCGGCCAACATTAATTGCAAGGATAATGAAGGCTGGACACCATTACATGCCAGTGCCAAGTAAGTTTTGTCATCTTATTTATCAAATAGATTTAATTAATCTTTTTTTTTTGACACATTTCATCTAGTTGTGGCAATCTTAACATTGTCAAAATATTGATTTCAAATCCTGCATGTGATCTATTCGCATTGAATTGCGATAATGAACTAGCCTGCGATGTATGTGAAACAAAAGAATGTGAAGATCTGATTCGTCATCAGATGAATCTTGCATTGAATTATGATCAAAAAACACGACCATCATCGATTACGAATCGTCGAACAAGATTCACTGTTTCAACGAGAAGTGTTTCTGGCGATGAAAATCATGATACGAATTATGATGATGATGATGATGAAAATGAAGAACTGTATAAGGATCTTCGTCAACAAGAATTAAAGACAATCGATCGTGATATTGATATTTGGATCGAAGCAAAAAGGATCAATTCATCATCATTTGATATACGAGCAGAACTGGAACGTACAAGAGATCCATTATCAGGTGCAACAATCTTACATGTTTGTGCAGCCAAAGGTTATCAAGATTCCTTGGAGAAATTCTTGAATATATTCGCCACCAGTGTTGATCTCGATTCATTTCGCGATTGTGATGGCTATACAGCCTTGCATGCAGCTGCATTTTGGCGCCAGCCTGAAACATTTGAAATATTGTTAAAATTTGGCGCAAATCCTGATCTAATGACTGAAAAAACCAGTGATAATATTATGTCTAGTTCTGTTTTAGAACTATGTAAAAATGATCCAAAATTTGTCGAATTAATTGAAGTAACCAAAGAAAAAGAAAAGATTGCCAAAGAATCGGAGACACAAAGAAAAATATTCGCTAAACGTCAACGTGAACAAAGACGTTCGACGCAAGGCGTCAACCGTGAAGACCTCGAACAGGCATTGAAAATGATGGAAATGGGTATGTCAATAATGAAAACATTCAATACTGTTAATGATCTGTCAATTGATGCTCATTAATTTGATTTTTTTTCTAGCTAAAAATGTGTCATCTCCCGAATCAACAGACAGTAAACGTCAAGCTGATGGCGATGAAAAAGCGACAAATATCACCAATGGAAATAGTAGCAAAAATGTTGCTGATAATATGACTAATAATGAGAATGATAATTCATGTTCGACAACAGCAATCGTTTCCCTTAGTAGTCTACGACGATCATCGAATGTTAATGAGGATGAATCATCCGAACCAACATCGTTGACAATCAAATTACCGAAACAACAGCAATTAACCAAAACGAATTCCGGTCAATCGATTAATAATGGTGAAACATCAACAACATCATCAATGACCACGACTGGGGCAGAAACACCACCTATAACAATGAAAATTCAGATGACAACACCAGCTGAATTTGCTAAACGTAGAAGGATAAAACGACGTTCAACAGGTATTGAAGATGATAGTGGTCATGCATTATCACCCGACATACTAGCCGATGCAACTAATCCATTAACGATTTCCAACAACATCAACAACAACACTGATAATACTACTGTAAAAACAGGTGAAATAACGCCCTCACAAATTGATGCAGCATTCGACATTACATTGAGTGTAAGTATTTTAATTATTAAATATGAATTTCAATTTTTTATCCATCCATATTTATAAATGTCAAGGTGATCATCATCATCATCAAAAATAACATTTAATGATGATGCTAAGCAATTTTTCAAATATTTATAGATAGCTTTGATAGATATTGTTAATTAATCAAATAGTAATTATATTATTTTTAGATGTGAATTTATAATAATTTAGTTTAGTTAACTAAATTTATATTCCTGTTTATACAATTGTCATAAATTGTGTTACAATTTTTTTTTTGCTTTGAATTTTCAAATTCCATATGTGTGTCTGTGTATTTAGAATTTCGAAAACTAGAATGATAGATAGATAGGTGTGTATGTTTATATTGATGAAAAAGAATTTTTTGGCTATTTTTGCGATGTTTTTATTTTCGATTCAATGAGCTACTACAATTTTGATATTCTTAATAAATGACTGTTCGGTTTCTATTTTATAAATATTGCATGTTCTCGTTTTTTAGTTTTTTTTTCTTTCTTACTTTATTTGCACAATTTTAAGATTTGTTTAGACAAACTTTTTGTTTTGCTTTTCTTATTGTTCATTGATTTTGTAGATTCTTATAGACGTGCACACACAAACACATCATGCAGAGAATTAGAACATGCATATATTGCATATGAAATTCATGTTTGAATGTTTTTTTTTGTTTGTTGTTTTGTATGAGTGATATCATCACGATGTATATCCAGGCAAAGAATATTCTTTCATAGTTCTATGCATGTGTTCCTAAGGCAATTGTCCCTTTTATTTTTAGGCTATGGAGAAAAAATCTACATTCGGTAGCTTAATTTTGATGGTATTTTTTGCTCACCATCATCATGTTGTTTCTTTTTCGATCGGAATCAATGTTTGTTTCTTGTGTTGTCTATGGGGTTGGTCTTATGCCTTTCGGTTTTGTGCACAAAGATTCTTGAATAGTGAAAGATGATTATTCTAGATCCGAAATACCTATCAGATGATGACGAAATGTAAATGTTGAAATCGACATTCACACACACACACACAGTCAGACATATAAAAATAAACCCAAATTGCAATTGCATAAAATTGTAAAACATTTTTCGGAAAAAATAATTTTTTTATATTCAGATTTTTTGTTTTATTGTCGGTTGTCGACTTTTAAACATTCGTTTCTAATATGTGTACAGGGAACAATCAAATAGAGTTAATTAATTGATTTTAATTACTGTCTAATTATTGTTCGTTTGTCTTCTGTTGATTGTTTGTGTGAATTGATTTGATAATTTTTATAGTTTGAATATATCCTTGATTTAGTCAAGTTGTTTGTCGAGTGATCCTTCTATCTCTATTTTTATCATAATGTCTTATGGATCACTTGGACGACGATCTGGATTGTCATCGACATACAATCCAAGGATATCGTCATCCTCGACAACATCCAAACCATCATCCAATCGTTTATCATCAACATTGACTAGCTCAAGTCCAATATCTCGATCATTAACATCGTTATATGGCGCTGGTTGTAGCGGTGTTGGCCAATCGGCTGTCGATCAATATATGCAATCAGCTGCTTCATCGACACCTTCATATAGTTCCGGTAGTCATCGTCGTAATCCGCATATTCGTCGACCCTCATCACATCATCAACCATCCACAGCATCATCAATTGCAAATCGTGCAAGATCACATTCACAAAATAGTTTGAATTCGATTGGCAGTGGAACACAGACCTATTCTGTAATCAGAATTTTGTTTTAAAAAAATTGAATATTTTTATTATCTAATTCAAATCTAATCCTTTATTTTATTTTATTTTTTCTTTTTACATAGACACCATTAAATACATCCAGTCGTTCATCACGAATCATTAATCGTCCAGTATCGAATGCTTCATCATTATCATCATTGAATTCAGCACGTAGCCGTGAATCATCTTTGGCTGATGATAATTTATCAACAGCATCATCGATAAATTCATTAGCATCATCCTATGATAATAATAATTCATTATCAACAAATAATTATTCTAGGTCAAATTTTAATAATAATGATAACAATAATAATACAAGCAATGATGCAAGCAATAATCTAAAAGATTTATCCAATTTATTATCATCGGATGAGATTGATTATAAAAAATTATGTAAACAATTATTACGTGAAAATGAATCATTACGACGACGTATCAAAGAATTAGAAGAATCTGAAAAGAAACGTGAACAGGATTTTAGTCGTGAAAAACGTTCATTACAACGTAACATTTCTGAAATGGAAGAAGAATTAAAAGTAATGAATGATATTAAAGCGGATAATATGCGTTTAAAGGATGAAAATGCTGCATTAATTCGAGTCATTTCAAAATTATCAAAAAATTAAAAATTTTAATCAAAAACTAATGGAATGAGTGTGTAAACATCCGGTCAATCTTCTTTTTTTATTTTTAAAAAATGATAACATTCTTCATCTCGTTCATCTTATTATGTTATTATCATCATCATCACCAGAATATTATTCTTTACATATATGCACATTTTTAATTGAAAATAATTATCATTTAATCAATTTATATTCATTCAAAAAACAACAACAACAACAATAAAAATCTAGTCGTGTTTTGTTATACAAACTTGTACACACATAAAAACAGTGTAAAAAATAAACTTTGAATTTATTTTTTTAAATACAAAAACAACAGCAGCAAAAAATTATATTACCCATCAAAATCCTATTGTTGTTGTTGTTGTTGTTATTGTTTGGATTTTATTTGAAATTAAAAAAAAACAAACAAACAAACAAATACGGTTACTATTCTATACATACATTTTCATAATTATATTTCTTATTATTATTACAATTGTTTCATTGCTTGTTGAAAGATGATAAAAACAACAACAACAAACAAATTTGATCTGATAAAACAAAACGATAATGAATTTTTTTTTTTGATATTTATCTACAAATTGATGGATATGTGTGCGTGAAAGAGTTTTATTATTATTATTATTATTATTATTTAAATTTTATCTTGTTTTTATTTCAGAATAATGTTAAATGATCAGTGAGACGAAATTTTATGTCTTTCAAATGTATTACGCATAAAAATGATAGACCAGAAATTAGATAGAATGCATATTGATTTGATAATATAGCCCATTGATTGGTTTTATTAAACCAAATAGCAATCAATAGAAAATTAGTGAATGCATGTGGATTTAATAAACGCCAAAACCATGTTATTGTATACATTAATGATGATTTAAATATTTCTTCTTGTAATTCGGTACGAACATTAAAACCATCAGTAATACTTGGATCAAGTATAAAATGATATTGATTTAGGAATAGATTCCATGTTAATGATGAAATACCAATCTGTAATAATAATAATAGATAATTTTTTATTGTCTGACGACGTTGATTATTGATGATTCCTGTATCACATTCATTTTCATTTTTCAATAATGAATATGTTGTATGTGTATGTAAAACATTTGATGATTTGGCACCAATAGGTTGTCGTTGATATGCATAACAAAATGCAGCATACCAGAATATAACAACACCGATTCCATCACATATTCCATCGACAATATATCCACTTGAATTAGTTACTGAAACCTATAAATGATTATTATTCATTATTTTAAAAAAAATGATCAATTTTAAAAGTCATACCTGTTTTTTAGCATCAATACCTAAACGACAACGAGCAATATACCCATCAAGATCATCCATAAATTGGCGACCAAAAAATGCTAAAACACCGATACGACGAATAAATAGACTATCACTTAATATTAATCGTGCAGCAATCAATGCAAAAATAACACCCATATATGATATATGATTAGCGGTAATCCACGGAAATATATAAGGTAAACGTGTATATTCAATAAATATTACTGTTAATGGATGAAATACATAAAGATTTACATGATCAATCATTACAGTTTTCACTGTAATCGTTATCTATTCGATTGATGTAAGAAATAAAAAATAAATAAAAACAAACATAATAATAATGATAAACACCTATTGATGATTGTGTTTTTTGTTGAAAAAAAAATAAAAAACTTACATTCAAATTTGATTCATTTTGAATAATTTCATATAATTGATAATCGGATAGAAAAAAATAGATGATAAATATTGTAAGAATAATGATGGAAAAATTATCTTTAAACATTTTCGAATGAATTTTTTTCTGTATTGAATCGAATGAAAATTGTTCGAATTTCGATTTAATTTTCATCATCGTTGTAATTAATTTAGAGAAGTCAAAAAACAATAGAAAACAAAACACTACTTTTTATGGCAATCAATATGATTGAAAAATGATGATGATGAATTTTGGCGGTAATTTTTTTCGGTGAGAAAAAAAAATAGAATCATCAACCGAAAAAAAAACCAAACTAGCAATGACCCAATTTATAAAGATTATTCGAAACAAGAAAAAGATTATAGAATCAGGAACAAAAGAAATTTAACATTTTTTTCAAAAAAAAAATCACACGAGGATGATTCAACAGAAAATTTGTGAAGAAAAGTCGGTAACAAAACATACAAGACCTTGTAAGTGATTTTTTTTTCAAAATAGCACGTAATAAGGCATTCTGTTATAGTCGGTGTTTATTAAAATCTCAAGAATCGATCACAAAATACACTTAGTAACGGGATTTTTGTTAAATTCTGTTAACTGAAATTAAGTTTTGTAATCACTGATTGTCTGATTTTAACAACAATAACAAAAAAAACAGCAGCAATAGAAAAAACAATCTGCCAATTGAAATGCATCTTTTTATCGGATTGTTGTTGTTGTTGTTTTCCATTGTAATTTTATTGGTAAAGTGGGGGGAGGATAAACAAAATAATAATGATAATAATCAGACCATCGATTAACATGGCGACAACGACATTTTTTTATCTCTGAATTTCTTTTTCTTTTTTTGAAATTAAAATTATCATTATCATCACTCATAGACCAAATAGATAAATTGTAGTCATAACGATAACCTTGGATACAATAATAATGATGATTATTATGAAAAATATTTTAAATGATCAGTTATTTTAAATATTTGAATTGAATTGAAAAGAATTTATCGATTGGCAATACACAAGTGTTAATGAATTTTCGGGTTGAAAACAAAAAAAAAAATGATTTTTTAAAGCTATAAACTTGATACTAGATGGCAGTCTAAAAAGGGGATGAAAAATGGGCCTAATGAAATAAATTTCGATGGATTTTCAATTTGTCTTTTTCTTCTTTTTTATTTATAACGGTTATAGTGATGTGAAATTTGTGTGTTATGTTTGGGAAAATAATTAAAGAAAAAAAAACGAAACAAATTATAGGACAAATCAAAACTTGTAATTCGAATATCGAAAATTAAATGAAACAAATTATTGATCGCAAATGAATACGATTTGTATACAGAAAATTGCAAGGTCCAATCTATTCTCAATCTAAATTAGTGAAATTTCTTAGTGATGGACAACACCCAAGTAATGTTTTTGATTTTTAAAGAAATTAATTTCTTCAAAATCAAAAACAAAATCAATGCATTTTTATGTTCCTGGAAATCATTCTAAATCGATATTCAATAATCAAACAAACAAACATCAGTAGCTTAAAGCTTATTCGAATAATTCAGATTTTTTTTCTGTTTCAGGATAAAATACAACAGAAAAAATGATCAGAAAAAAAACATTGATCATAATGATACTAATTTACGAATCTAGCTCAACTCTTTCTTAAATTTTTAACTTGTTTTTTGTTTATTGTAAATAAATTTATCAAAATTCGTGATCATAAATAATAATGAAATTTTTATTCGAATGCGATCTGATAATCGGATTGATGATGTATTCCACCCAAAATATTATCAATTTATTGATCAAAAAAAATCTTTGTGTTAAATTGTAAATAATTTATCGTTAATAAACTGGGAACGATAATAACGGATAGTTTAATTTAACCCGAAAACCTTATTATAAAAATTATTACTTTTTTCTTTTTTTACTTCTTACGGTGAAATCGATTTTTTGTTGTTGTTGTTAAACATTTATTTTGTAACATTAATTTCATTTCAGCGAGAAAAAAAAACGAAAATTCTAAATTAATGACCTTAATAAATGATAATTGTTATTAATTAATCAAATCAAAATGAAATGAAACAAAAACATAAATTTTGTTTATTTTTCTTGTAAATAAAAAATTTCGATGTTAAATCAAATCCGAATCCGAATCGGCCAACGGCCAAATAGTTTGTAACTTTTATCTATTTTTTTTTCTTTCTCTTACACCTTTATCTGTTTGTATAAAAATGTTTTTTAAAAAAAACTTTTTAAACTTGTTTTCGATGGTTTTTAAATGAAAATTTTATTTAATTTTAATTTTTTTTTCTTCCATTGAATCCGCCGGTTTTGCTTCAGAAAAAATTTGCCGTCTATTTTCCTGTTTATTCATTTATTTTTTTCGGATGATCATATATAAACAGACAACTACAAAACATCTAAATTCGTAAACATTGTATCTTATCGGTGTGTGTGGCGAATGAAAATTGTAAATATGTCATATTGAAGAACAAAAAAAAAACTTCTTTTTTGTCTGTTTGTTTTATTTGACAATATTTATTCTAATATTTACAGAAAGGTCACCACCCGAAAAGGAAAACAAACAAACAAAAAATGGTTTTGAAATCAATAATGATAAACAATTAACAATCCAAATTGATTTATTGATTATCGATCCGAAAAGAAATAAAAAGAATAATTGAATTAATTTTTGGATTCACAAATGCAAGAGAGAGAAAAAAGTAAATTATTAAAAACCTTCGAACCTAAAAATTAAAAAAAAAATTATAGATAAATTTGATTTAAAAAGTTGAACAACGAAATAGGAAAAAAAATATCAAAAATCATTCATTCCATGCCATGTCATGCCTGGCTGTCATTTTCATCATCACCATTCACTACCGATCATCTTCAGGTATGCATGGCATGGCATTGCATGGCAATGGGTTGCGCCTTTTCCCCTCCAAAAATTAAAAAAAAATTCATCAATATATATAGAGCTCCCCTTTTCTTCTTTCTTCTATCTTCTTCCACATCATTATAAATGATATGAGAAATGATCAACAAGTTTTTTTTCTTTCATTCAATTTCTTAACTTTTCGCTTCGTTTACCTTTTTTTTTGCTGTCGAAACGAAACGAAACGAAAATCCTGATTTTATTTTTCTTTGATCATTCCATGTTGTAAGAAAATTTGGAAAAAAAAATTGCTAAGAACTTGTTGTTGTTGTCGGACGGCTTCGAATCATCCATCGAGATTTACGATATTCGAATTCTTTAATAATATTTGAACAATTTCTTCTCTCGTTCTTTTTGGCTCTCTCTCTCTCTCTCTCTCTCTCTCTCTCTCTCTCTCTCTCTCTTTTTTTTTTTTTTTT